TACAATCTCTGGTAGGGTGCAAGAAGCTTCCCGAAAGAATTTGGGTTTGACACACCAACACCACTCCAGCTCCTTCTGTGGGGCTATCTGCCAACAAGCTCGGTAAGGGAGCAAGAACATGAGAAGGCGCAACTCACAAGCACAGTACTGCAGTTCCTGCACTGCGTATGGAAAAACGGATTGAATATCCAACCACGAAACGGCGTCCATCGAGGGGCGTCCCCTCTCAACAACCTGAGCAACTAAACCGGACAGGCATCTGCTCATGAGTTGTGGTCGGAGTGGTGCTCCTTCTCCCTGCAAAAACATTCCACAAAGTTATCAAAATCGTCATACGTTGAGATGAGCGGACTCCCAAAAGGAAGAGCCTAGCCGAAGTCGTCAGAACACGGTTGGCACAGTCCTTGGAACCGAAACGTTGACATGTGATGCGCCTGCCCTGGGAAGACCTGTGCTTCGATACCGTGCCACATCAAAGCGAAAGGCCGTTCAAAACAAGAGCCTCCAAACGCAGCAAGATGGAGAACGCAGAATGAAATTCCCGTCGCGGCAAGGCGGCAAGTGGCAAGTTCCCAGAGCAGCAGCAGCATTAACACAAAGCTGTGCTCAAGTGCCCCATACAACTTCGCAAGACTGCTCAAGAATCTTAACCAGATGTCTGTCCAAGAAACTTCGAGAAACTCGGTCATGGCTGGCTACGCCACCATTTCCAGCAGCAAGTCCACTTGACCTCCAGTTGACCGGGTCTTGAGAATTGCCAAAGCAATACCAAGATCCACGCCTTTGTCGTGAAGTTATACACTGCACCTTCTCTTGAGTTCCTCACGATGACCTCCTGATGAACTCACCAAGCAGCTTCCGGGCACATGTTTGCTGGAAGCGTTCGCTGTGTTTAGTGTATTCAGTTGCCTTTCCCAGTGTCCTGCAGCCGCAAAAGATTCCAGAAACGTCAGAGAAATGGGGACCTCAACAACTCCTGCCTGGGGGCCTAAGGGGCTTTGTAGGCGCTAGGGCTCTTTGCGAAAAGGTTTCCCAAAAGTTCGTGGAGTCAAATACATCAACATCTGTTTGGGGGCACGACGCTATGCCAGCTGAAGCAACCATCTGCGCAGAGAAGTTGATGTAGAAGCTTGGCAGGTCAAGAAAGTTATTTGTGGGTTTGTCTTCCAGATTCCTTGCTGCCGTTCTTCAGAGCAGAACAGATTTTTTGAACCGGTGCTCACATTGTTTCAGAAGGATCTGTGGTTGCAAAACAAATCAAAACCTGAAGCCCTTCTTGGGGGCCCTGGAAGAAGTGGCAACAGAGAACCCATTCGCCAGAGAACTCATTCGCAATCTCCTGCATCAGTTCACCGAGGGTGCACGCACCTCACCCTGAATTCCAGAATCCATCAAAATCTGCCTTTCTGCCACTCAGCCAAGTCCGAAATCCGTTAGTGTGGCTGAAATGTCAACTCTGGTTGCATACAAACAGGAAATTGGAGGGAGAAAAACACAACTGAGAGGTAATAATAGTGGACTCTTGATAGTACTCCTCGTTGGTGTCCAAAAAACAATCACGCGTGCGTCTGGGGGTTATTCAGCCGGAACCATTCTCAACCATGAGATTGCCCACCATACAATCCAAAGAAATCTCCAAATATGATGTTGTGAGCTCGTGCTTGAAGCCATCTGTGGCAACCTGAAGGATGCAAGGATGCACCAGAGCATATATATGATGTAGATATATAATAGAGATGTGAGATGCGGCCGCTTTCCAAGACTCAAAGGTCTTCGGCGACTCCGGCCGCGAATGCCGGTGAAGTCAAAGCAAAAAGCCAAGTGGATAATCAAAAGTGAGGTGGAACAACTGTGGCTCAATTTCTGCCACGGCAAAGGATGCCCAACAAAAATTCAAGCAGGTTCTAGTGTGAAACACTCTGGTATGTTGACCATACTGCAGAGAAAAGGATCGTTGCTTCCAGGGCAAGAACTCTTTGTCTCAGCCCTGAATCAAGACCCCACCTGCCCTGACATGTTCCGATAAAAGAACACCAAGAATGTCTTGCCCCCCAACCCGAGCTTCAAACCGAACAACTACTTCTCAAAACGCGTACAGTAATACAAGAACCCATATGTGTTTGGCACAGGGCCGTGATTGATCTCAGGGCAGGGCACGAGAAACTCCAAGAATTTACAGAACAAGCCACAGGTCCTAGACAAGCTCATCAGGTTCCACTTGCATCTACAAGCCACACCCAAGAGCCCTGAGAAGTTTTGAAGGGGTCATTGGAAGCGGGCACATTGTCCTTTGACCGCGTACAAAAAGGCAAGGCCAGTTGCACAGAAAAGCTGCGTTTACCCATGTGAATCAACTGTGGACTGTGTCCTGACACATGTGGACAGCGCTTTGGGCACATCAGAAACTCTGACTGCTGACGGGCACACGAAAACCCGCAGGATCGAACGGTTGGTTCTGAACAATGTCTGCCCCCAAGAAGAATGTCAAGACACTGTGTTCAGCTGCTTGCAACTGACGCACTTTCCTAATCGGACCTGGGAGACAGTCTCAACAATACCAGCTACCAACGTTTTCACAAGCTGAACCAGATGATGTGGCAGAACGCAGGGCTGGTACTTGCGCAAATGTGAGGGCAAAGTTTTGCAGCTGCACGCCCCGCTCTAATGCCACAATGTTGGAACAAGCGGTAAACACTTGCTGCGCGGTCTAAGCCCGCAAAGCGCCTTCACCAAGCAAGTTGGAACCCGCCTGGCTTTGGAAGATCCCGCACAAGCTGATTCCACAAATGTTTGACCTCGCCAACCTTTTCCACTCAAAGCGAAACAGAGCCTGACAGTTGCCAGCCCGGGCCAGAGAAGTTTTTGGGCCTAATCGCACCATACAAAGGAACTTCCGGGGAGAATTGAGAAGGAAACTGGTCGCACATTCCTGGGCACCTGACAGCATCCTTCCGCATGACGAAGACTAGGCGGCCATGTCTGGTGCAGGGCATGTGCAATCATCAGAGAACAATGTCACATGGCGCCATGCCGTGTTTCAGAAAAACGTGGAAGAGCAAAGGCGGTACTTGCTTGTCGTTCCATCATGGTGATCTGGCTGTGGGCGCATGTCCAGCCCAGTGCAAGCTCAGAAGAGTGCAGTGTAGCGCAAAAAAGAAACAGCGCACACAACAGAATGTGGTTTTACCCCCTGCCCGGCCCTGCCCCACTGAGTTGCAGTCTGCGTTGCATGTGGCCGGCACTTTGGTCAAATAGGTCACGCCTCATGTTGAAGAGCACGCCCATGAAAAATCCAGATTTGAAGAGATCTCAACCCCCCAGTCCGGACCTCCTTAAGGCGGTGTGAGACGCAACCGCGCGGAGCTTGGAGAGCACATATATAGCTGCCATTGAAGACTGTCCAGGCGCTCAAGATCCATATCTGTTGTAAACAAAACAGATGCACGGAGCGAACAAGAACAACAGGAAACCCATGTGACCTTCTCCCCGCAAGTGGACCTTGACCAAGTAAGAAGACTTCAGTATTTGCCAATTGTTTTGTTGGCAGTCAAAATTTATTGTGTTTCTTGGCGTGCAAAGGAATGGTTGGCACAAGCAACAACATACGTCTCTTGCCCAGAGCCATCTGTCCCAACGGCATCACAGGCGCAAAACGATGCCAGTTTTTGGTGTTGGTTCACAAGCCGGAACCACTTTGTTTGCCTGCAGTTGCCATGACACATGACTTAATTTCCAAGTGGGGTGATGAAAACATGCGGTCTACCTGCTGTAGGCTTGCGATATAATCTCTTCCAATCTGGAACACGCCCTTCACACATCGGTGGCCATGGAGCGTCCTTCTTTACCGTGGTGCATCCTTCAGTGCGTCGTTGGTAGCGCAAAGTTCCCCGGAGGGCCCCAAAACCCTGCGCTTGCGTCGGACCCCGGGGGGCAGCACAAGCGCAAGGTGAACAACTGACAACTAAGCCGGAATGTCGGCCCAACTTCCCTGCCCTTTGCCCAACTTTCGTCCCGATCGTGAGGCGTGTCAACCAGTCCTGGATTCCAGGATGGCGTGCCCCGGAGGGCTTCGCGCGAGCTTCGCGCGCATACAATTGTTTCCTGTTCGGGCACGGCCGCAAGGCCAGCCATTTTCGGTGCCCCGGAGGGTCTCGCGCGAAGCGCGCGCATGCGATTGTTCCTGTTGGGGCATGGCTGCGAAGCCAGCAATTTTTGGTGCCCCGGAAGGCCTCTCAACCCACTCCCTCAGGCTGACAGCCGATGCAAACCCCGGAGGGCTGTTGTTGCGACACGCGACATCTACGCACACCTTTCGTTTGAGGTCGGCGCGGTGCGCTGCCAAATCCTCAAGGTAGGACATTGTTGCTTGTGGGAATGTGAATATTGATCTGACAGTTCTTATCAGACATCTCACGGGAACACTCGGGATGCGGTCATGGGGTATTTGGGGGTCCATCGACACACCCAAGGAACAACTGCCAAGCCCGGCACCGACTTCCCTGCACCCAAGCTGAGCAGGCAATTGATCAACAAAGTCGAAGAACGACATCTGACAAAGCCTCTTCTTGAGTAAAGTGGATTGTTTGTATGTTTTTTAACTCAGCAGTGCCGCCAATTCTATACCTGAAAAGCCCTGCACGTTAACAACCATCACTTCCCCGACCCCAGTCCCTCTGCTGCCCGATCATCATGTTCGACTCAGAATACCATTAGCGAACAATCAGCAACAGTCCATCATCAGGTGGGCACGCTGATGTATTGCCACTTTAGCCTTGGTGCGATCCTGATTTTGCCCATCAGGCGCCTGGCGCTCTTGGGATGTAGAGCTCACTCCCCGCATGCAGCTGCAGAAGGCGGTGATTGCAGGATATGGGCCGATATTGGTCTCAAGTACTTTCTTGGCTGCTTTGCTATGAGCTTTGGATGACAAGACCTAGCACAAATATGTATATATATATGTGTGTGTGTGTCTGTGTATATATATAACTATATATGTACACATGCAAAAAAAAACATGTATATATATATATATGCAAATAGCTTATATATATATATATACTGTAAGGTTGTTGGGAAAGCTGGTTGCCAAGGGGCTTGTGCAGAAATGATTGCACCAGTTGCTCTTCATCTAGTACCCCAGTCTCAAACCAGGAAAGCACAGAAGACATGACAACCCATCAAAGACCAAGGTAACGTCAGCCACTTCAGGCTTTAGGTGTTTAGGCAGTCTAGGGTTTAGGATTTAGGTGTTCTCCATCTCCTGGACCGGCGCCGGGATCCAGATCAAGCAGGCCTGCAAGTTGGCAAACACACTAGTGCCACGGGGTGGCTTTCTGTGCAATCCAAGAGATCAACCCAAAGAATGGATCCTTCCCCCCCACGCACATCTTCTGACGCACGAATCCTCTGTCTGACCATCCATTCCCCTAGCCAGAGACTTCATGCTCCCCTTTCTTCTCTCAAAGGCATCAGGGTTTGGAATGCCCTGTAAATGGCTGATAAATCTCCACACCATGATTGTGACACATGTTGGTCTTCGCACATCTTGTTAATTCTGCTGGCCTGCCATGTCCTCTCTCGCATAGATTCTCCCCTCAAGTTCCGCTCACAGGACACTTGGCCCCTCCAGAATGCACATGTCACATGTCTCAAGACATGCCAGATCCTGGATTTAAGAAACTGATGTCTCACAATTCAACTGGAGTTTGTGTCCGATTTTGCGGGTGATTTCGGGGAGGGGGCCTTCTGAGACTACTTTTTGTCTTCAAAACACCAAAGAAAGTGAGTGTGGGAGCAACCATACACTGCACCGGCAACCATACACTGCACTGCATCGGTGGTAGACCGATCTTCCGAGGTCCAACTGGACCGATCTTCCGATCCCTCTGCTGTCCATTCCTTCCCGGTGGCCGACTCACTCATTCCCTTTTTCCCCGGACAACTGGATGTTGTTCAGTCATTTCTTAGCGTCCGTTCAGAACTCGCCGTGAAGGAACACGTGCCCCAATTCCCATGCATCACGTGCCCCAATGCGGAAGGGTGGGTCTGTTGAGGATTGTTGGAGGGTCATTGGTCAGCGCCCCAAGATAGTTCTGCATTGCGCGCTCACTTTCGCACAAGCACATTGCACTTGTCTTCTGAATCATTAGAAGAACTCAACTAGTCCTTGACCTTTGTCAGGGTGCTGCAACAAAGTCTCAAAAAATCCTGACCTAGCTTCGTTGCACAAGCAGCCACACATCGAAAAATTGGAAAAGGCAGCGGTGGATGTTGCATCCGCTATCTTTCACTCTCTCAGCAGTGAGAAGCATCCGTAGTTCCAAGCGCGGCAACCCAGCCAGCAGTCGTGGCCAGCGCTTCCCACGGCCGTGGCCATCCTCGTCTCTGCTGCGGCGTTCGGTCTCCGGGGCCCTTTGCTTGTAGCATGACAAAGAGTGAACGCCAGGACTCCCGCTTCGGAACCCCGGAGGGCCCAGGAGTCCTACACCGGGCCCATGCGACGTGCTTCGACGCGGTGTGGTACTCACTTGACATGCGACGAAGTGGAGTGGAACATCTCACGGCATGTAGGTAGGTTTAACTCCCCTGCGTAGCGCCTGAGGGCTAGGAAATAAGCGTTCACACTCCACTCATATTTCACCACCCTGCATGTGACCTGTTGTAGACGTCTAGTATGCAGTGTAGGTCCTTGTGCAAGTACTTCCGCGCAAGCGCAACTTGCTTGATTCTCGGAATCTTCAGGTTAAAACTGAACTATTCATCATAGTCCCAATACATCTTGGCCTATGCAAATTTCGACAAGCATTGCAGGTTGGCAAGCCTCATTTCAAAAGCAGCTGTATGCTGGTGAAAGGCAGAAGTGCATGTTGCATCCACTGTGCTTCACATGTACCTGCCACAGGCTGTGGGATCATAAGAACCCCAGAACAAAGCGGCTGTGCCAGTGGCTCAGCATTGCGTCGCTTCCTCATCGTTCGCTCAGCTGGCTCAGCTACTCATGTAGACATAGAGCCTGGCAGTCCACAAGGGCACAACATGAAAGTGAAGGAATTGTCTTTGCAAATGACACCTTCGCACCGAGGCTCGCCGAGGCCCGCTTGGTCCTTCTGCGTGGTCATTCTGTCCGAAGTCGAACAAAACCCAGAGTCCGCCCAGCCCAAGTCCGCAAGTAACATCTGACATCTGACATACATGAATCAAATGGTTTATTCAAGTGGTTCATCTAACAATACATCAGGTCCACCTTTCATCATGAATCATGCATAGTACTTCACTCGACATCGCATCGTACATGTCACTCGTGTGGACTGGACTTCTCATTCTCCCAGTGCCAAGTCTCTTGGCGCCTGCCCTGTACCCAGTCTTTTGGACCAGTCTGCCAAGTCTCGGCCTGACCACAGCAGAACACGTGGGATGGTGAAAGGATAGAAGTTGGCCCAGCGAGTCCAGCTGCACCAACATCCATCTGGTAGAGACGGCCATTCCGTGAGGACATAGCATGACAAAGCATGACACAACCTGTGAAGCACATGGCTTTTCACAACGTTTGATGGGCAACGTGGTTTAGGACATGTCTGCCCTGCGTGATCTCCTCTTCGGAACCCCGGAGGGCCAGGAGTTCGCGAGCAGCATCTGACATCTAACATGCATGAATCATGCGTGGTGAATCAGTTTTCTTCCAGTGTTAAACCCTGTAGAAGCTCTCAACCACTCCTCCCATGCCATGTCGCACACCTCTAAGTAGGTTTGACTCCTGCTTGACTTGTACCAAGTCTCTTCGCCAGACCCCTGAGGGCAAGGCACATGCATGTAAGCTCTGCTCATACAGCCCTGCATATCACTTTTTTGTAAGCATCTCGCACCCAACGTAGTTCCTGCTTCGTGCATGCAATGTTCGCGCAAGCACAATCCACTTGGTCCTCTAAATCATCAGGTGAAAACTGAAATGTTTCTTCACCTTTGTCAAAGTGGAGTCAAAAATTCTACAAGATTCTACGACATCCCTTTCTCTCGCACACCCGAATGGCCCTTACCAGCTTCCAATTCCAAAGCAGCCAGAAAGCCTTCGGAAACGTGGAAGGCAGGGTTGAAGGTTGCATATGTACAAGCGCCAGGAAGCGTTGCCACAAGCTGTGAGCTTGAACATAGAGCGTAGAAAAGCACCAGTGGTGAACAAAGGACTTCCTGATCAAGCTCAGCTAAAGCTTGCCCTAGGCATCTAGCGCAAGCAGCCAGCACAACAAGCCGCTTTGTAGAAGTATTGCTCGGAATGTCGAGCAAATGGCTTTCCACAACGTTTGATGGGCAACGTGGAGTCTCTTCGCCAGACCCCTGAGGGCCAGGCACATGCGCGTAAGCTCTGCTCATACAGCCCTGCATATGACTTTTTTGTAAGCATCTCGCACCCAACGTAGTTCCTGCTTTGTGCATGCAATGTTCGTGCAAGCACAATCCACTTGGTCCTCTAAATCATGGGGTGAAAACTACACCATTTCTTCACCTTCTTCAAGGTGGAGTCGAAAGTTCTACGAGATTCTACGACATCCCTTTCTCTCGCGCACCTGAATGGCCCTCACCAGCTTCCAATTCGGAAGCAGCCAGAAAGCCTTCAGAAACGTGGAAGGCAGGGTTAAAGGTTGCATATGTACAAGTGCCGGAAAGTGTTGCCACAAGCTGTGAGCTTCAAGCAGCTTGAACATAGAGCTAAGAAAAGCACCAGCGGTGAACAAAGAAAACAAAGGACTTCCTGATCAAGCTCAGCCAAAGCGTGCCCTAGGCATCCAGCGCCAGCAGCCAGCACAAGAAGCCACGTTGTAGAAGTGGAGCCGGGCAGTCCGCAAGGACACAGCATGACAAAGCATGAAGCAATTTGTGGAGCAAATGGCTCACAAAGTTCGCAACAAGATTCAGGACATGTCTGCCCTAACGGCACTCCTCTTCGGAACCCCGGAGGGCTAGGAGTCTGCGGGCATCTAACATCTGACATGCATGAATCATGAATCATGGAGTACCTCACGTGACATGACATGTACTGAGCCCTGTAGTACTCAGCCCCTCCTCCGATGCCATGAAGCCACATGTAGGTGTCAACTCCCGCTTGACTTGTACCAAGTCTCTTCACCAAGCCCCTCAGGGTGCTCGGAAACATGAGTGTACGCTCTGCTCCTGGCGCCCTGCATGTGACTCTTTTGTAAGCATCTCGCACCCAACGTAGTTTCTGCTCCGCGCATGCAATGTTCTTGCAAGCACAATTTACTTGGCCATCTCTTCACCTTCTTCAAGGTGGAGTCAAAAATTCTACAAGATTCTACGACATCCCTTTCTCTCGCACACCCGAATGGCCCTTACCAGCTTCCAATTCCGAAGCAGCCACAAAGCCCTCAGAAACGTGGAAGGCAGGGTTGAAGGTTGCATATGTACACGCGCCAGGAAGCGTTGCCACAAGCTGTGAGCTTGAACATAGAGCGTAGAAAAGCACCAGTGGTGAACCAAGGACTTCCTGATCAAGCTCAGCTAAAGCTTGCCCTAGGCATCTAGCGCCAGCAGCCAGCACAACAAGCCGCTTTGTAGAAGTATTGCTCGGAATGTCGAGCAAATGGCTTTTCACAACCTTTGATGGGCAAGGTGGTTTAGGACATGTCTGCCCTGCGTGATCTCCTCTTCGGAACCCCGGAGGGCCAGGAGTTCGCGAGCAGCATCTGACATCTAACATGCATGAATCATGCGTGGTGAATCAGTTTTCTTCCAGTGTTAAACCCTGTAGAAGATCTCAACCACTCCTCCCATGCCATGTCGCACACCTCTAAGTAGGTTTGACACCTGCTTGACTTGTACCAAGTCTCTTCGCCAGACCCCTGAGGGCAAGGCACATGCGTGTAAGCTCCGCTCATACAGCCCTGCATATGACTTTTTTGTAAGCATCTCGCACCCAGCGTTCCTGCTTCGTGCATGCATGTTTATGCGAGCACAATCCACTTGGTCCTCTGACTCATCAGGTGAAAACTGAAATATTTCTTCACCTTCTTCAAGGTGGAGTCGAAAGTTTTACGACATCCCAGCTTCCCATTCGGAAGCAGCCAGAAAGCCTTCAGAAACGTGGAAGGCAGGGTTAAAGGTTGCATATGTACAAGTGCCGGAAAGTGTTGCCACAAGCTGTGAGCTTCAAGCAGCTTGAACATAGAGCTAAGAAAAGCACCAGCGGTGAACAAAGGAAACAAAGGACTTCCTGATCAAGCTCAACCAAAGCATGCCCTAGGCATCCAGCGCCAGCAGCCAGCACAAGAAGCCACGTTGTAGAAGTGGAGCCGGGCAGTCCGCAAGGACACAGCATGACAAAGCATGAAGCAATTTGTGGAGCAAATGGCTCACAAAGTTCGCAACAAGATTCAGGACATGTCTGCCCTAACGGCACTCCTCTTCGGAACCCCGGAGGGCTAGGAGTCCGCGGGCATCTAACATCTGACATGCATGAATCATGAATCATGGAGTACCTAAACCGTGACATGACATGTACTGAGCCCTGTAGTACTCAGCCCCTCCTCCGATGCCATGAAGCCACATGTAGGTGTCAACTCCCGCTTGACTTAAGCCCCTCAGGGTGCTCGGAAACATGAGTGTACGCTCTGCTCCTGGCGCCCTGCATGTGACTTTGCTGAAAACTGAACCATTTCTTCACCTTTTTCGTGGAGTCGAAAGTTCTACGACATCCCTTTCTCTCATTCTGCACTGTACAAGCTGCTGCTAGACTGTATGCTGCAAAATGCTTTGCCTGAACACCAAAGCATAGACAAAGGGTAGGCAGTGAATGGCTGCAAACGGTCTGGTCAAGCACAGCTTCGGCTTGCCAGAAGAATCCAGTCCAAGCAGTCAGCATCCAATCACACGCATGTGATAGAAGTAGAGCTCGGCAGTCCGCCAGGACATGGCATGGCAAAGCATGATGCAATTTGTAGATCAAATGGTAACGTCTGACAAGCTGGATTGCTTCGACTGGTGGCAGGTCTCTTCCGTGGACATGCCAACCTGGGGGCCCTGTTGGCGCCGTAAGCGAACTTGTAACATGCGTGTGCAACTCGAATCATCCAGGTTGGTCTCAATGGGTTCGTGCGGGTCTTGTCTCACTAGACACACCGACACATGTCCGCGAGACACACGCACACACCAACGGTGCGGCAAGCAGCAAAAAGCAAGCTACCCTCAAACCTGCCCGAGGCCATCCATGGTTGAGACCGCGCGCTGCACCCGTCCTTTGGGCAAATTCTAGCCTCCCAAAGAGGGGCCGTCTGAGACATGTCCCAGTGCACCAGGTCTTGCCCCAGGTCTTCTCAGGTGAATGGGACCACAAGATAGAAACATGTTGGCCATTTGCAAATCAATTTGACGGGATCTTCGACCCCTGCAGTCTGAGGTCTTTGTCTCCAGACAGTCTGAAGTCAGAGTCATGATTCTTCGCAGCTCTCCCGGAGGCCTCAAAGGTGCAAGTCTTCCAATCTACCGGAGTTTCCTAAAAAGATCATCAGGGGACCAGATCAAGTGTTTCAAAGTTTGGTTGATTTCTCCATCAACTGGGCCTCTCATGAGTGAGCCGCATTCAAATGACATCAAATCAAGTGAGATGTGAACCTTACAACTCCTCCAAAACTCCATCCTATTGTTGCCACACCAGCACTGAGCCAGGACTCATCCAAATCCACTCCAGCCATTTGGGTACCACATCCACGCCGTGCCAAAGCCACCACAGCCAAAGCCACCGTGCCCGTCGTCGCTCCTTGAGGTCCATGAGAGCTCCGGCGGAGTCCAACGCGGCTCGAGCTCCCCCCGTGGCGCGGGACACGCAACCGCGCTGCTCCCCTTGTGAAGCTCGCCTCTCGAAGTGGTCCTGGTGAAGAAGTTCCATCAGCCCAGAGATTTGTGAAAAGGATCAGCAAAATCCTCATTGAGAAATGATCCCATTCTCAGAGATCTTCGCCTGACACGCAGACGGCGGCTGTGAGAGTAATGGCTTGGGTTGATGAGTCTGTGGGAATAACACCAACCGTGGCTGGTTGGTTCCTTTAGAATCCGTATCTCTGCACTCTGCACCTATATATATATATATATGTTTCCTGGTCCTGCAGTGCATGAAATATTGCATGTGATATTAAGTATACACATGTCACGTCTTGCAAGTACAAGCAGCTGCAGCTTCTGTACATCAAGTCTTGCTCCGAGGTCCTCCTCCACGACCGGGTCCCCCCCGTGGTGGGGCAACCGATGTGGGGAGCATCTGAAGACCGTTGAGCGAATTAGAGCCAGGTTCATGAGGAGGGAATTCTGGATGCATTTGCTAATACATATACAGCATATTATTATTACCATACATCATGTCATGTCCTGTATATTCATATAGACATATATATATATATATGTCTATCGTCTTTTATGTATTTATCTTGTCAACTTTGTCGCGCGACCTTACTTGCCGGTTTCGGAGCGGAAAGAAGGGCTCCGCTGGACCAGCAGCTCATCCGCTGGAAGCAGAAAGTCTCAGATCTAGCCTGTATACTGTATTCAGAAACAATATATTTATAGACTATATATATATATATGGGATAAGGGTGTGTATATTACATATATATATATTGTATGTACCTATGTGTAAAGTGTAAATATAGATATATATATATATACATCTTTGTTTGGTATCATCAACGCTAGAATATCATATATAATCATATATATATTTGCAGTAGGTTCGTTGACAGGTAGATCAATCCATCTTTATCTGTAAAACCACTCTGTCAAACCACTCTGTCTGTCAATCATCAAGAATCAAGCATTGAAATTGACAAAGGGTCTTGGCTTGGCCAGCGATCGACTGCGCCACCCAGCTGTTTTCTGGTGGACATGGAGCATTCATGATCGCAGAAGGCACGCCCCCAGTAAGGCCAGCGCCCACCGGTGGAGATCCAACCCTTGGGTGGGAGGTGTTTCCTTCCATTGGCCAATGGTGTGTCCACAGCTTTTGCTCCAAAAACCCATGGCAGAATGGTGGAGGACGGGAATCGGGAACGGTCGACGACAACGGTCGACGACCGTTCCCGACACACGCGGGGGGACGCGGGGTTCCGCCGGGGTTCCGGCGGTTCTTTTTGGGGGGGGGGGTTGCAAATGGCTGAAAATGGCTGAAGGCAAACCTCTTGGCAGGTGTTGATCTGAAAGGCTGCTAATGCTCAAGAGGATCCAAACCCTGAAAGACTAGATCTTGAAGCCCTTAAGCTTCTACCATCAAGGCTTGTTGAGTCGACACAAGTGGCTATGCATGAGCCCTTCCATCTCATCATTGCCCTTGGTACGTATTGTTTTACAAGCGCTGGTCATTTAGATGACAGGAAAGAATGGTTTGCTTAGCACAGTGGAACCTGCACATACGGTTCACGATGAGTTCTGAGAACTCCTGATGCTTGCAAAAGCTTGCAAAGTGCATCTACAGAAACCACATGATATTTGGCCAAAAGGGTCTTTGAGACTAAACAAATAGATCATGAGCAAATGTCCAAACAAAGTGAGGTGTTGAGGATCTCCAGTATTGGAGTTCTCAAAACTCAACGTGTTCGAAGTTGAACAGCTTATATCATGGACTCTTACTCGACTTAGAGACATTCAGGGGACGGGCCCTGCCCCATTGATCCTCGAACTAGGACAGATTCGGTCTCCACGTCGCACCAACCCACCGTACCAACACGGCCGCGCGGGGCACCGCTGTTAAAGCAGCGCCGGGCATCTGGAGCTCAGTGATCTTCGGCTTCACCTGATGCTTCGGACTCAGCCGCGCACGAATCCACTGCAAAAACATTAAGAAGTATCCAAAGTACACAGAAACGGTGTAAATTGGAACTCCTGAACTCCTTAGAGCAAGATTTTTTACAGGCCAAAGAAAAGCCGCTTGGGTAGGATAGAACAACCCTTTTTCTTCCAACACTCCGAAAACTTTGCGGAAACCACCTTCTTGGTGCTGCCACTGCTACTTGCAACCTGCAAGCCACTTTGAGTAGAAGTTGACTACATGCCCGCCGCCTTGTTCCCTTGTTGACCCCACATTCCGCCACCCATTGAACCCCGAGTTCACTGAACCATTCGAGACGCCGCATGTCCAACATCGGACAAACGTCCATTCACCCAAATCATCCATCCTCTCCGCCGTTCGGTCCACCTCCCAGCTCAGCAAACGCTACTAAGCTGGGACCCAACATCCCTGTACCCCCTCGTAGTTCACACCAAAGTAGCTGAGTTCCAAACGGGCAGAAAATACGTCCCTCCCCAAAAAGAATGATGGCCATCTCACACGTTTCGCTCTGTCGGATCGCCCTCTGGCGGCACATCGCGGTTTGACATGGGCAGCCAAGGCACCCACGACGTGCTTGGGGCATCCGTGCCGTGTGCCGCGGCGGCCGCTGACTGAGCGGCCAGGGCAGCAGAGCGAGAGCGACCAGCGTCCTGAGCCGACGGAGATGTGCTGATGGACCCAAGAGGTTGGACCTTCAGGATGCTGGGCGACCTCTGGGCTCTGAGAACGACGAGCTTTCGGGAGCTCCCCGAAGGGACACCACAGGTTCGGTGAGAAGCGACGCCACGTTCCTGCCCTGGAGGGTTCACATGTTGATATTGTGTGTGTAGGCACCTAACGATGCAGACAAACGTTGCAGCCGGCCACATCACTGGAAATGCTGTGAACATGGAGCGGTTGCTGTGAACATGCCACTCCCAAAGTCCCTCCACAAGTTGGGGGACGCAAAAGAAATCCAGCCAATCTCGGTACGCTTCGTCGCTTCATTGTCCATGCATAAACCGCTCTCGTCGAAGCATGGTCCGATTTCAACCGCTGGGCAAGGCTGAGATGCTGCAGAGGTCTGAAAACGGGTCGCTGAAAAAGAGATGTAATGTCCAACTACGAGGTACGAACCATGTCCAACCGTGTTTCGAAGAAACTGTGTGAGTGTGTCATCCTTCTTTTCTGTCAAACTTCGTGTGCCTTCAGATAAATCCTACGGCCATTTGCTGAAGTTTCTCCCGAACATCCCCATTTTTAGTAATTCTTTGTCTTTCGCGATCGATAGCGCTTCCACGCCCTAGCAGTGGTCAAAAATAGTAAGCCATAGTCTCATAGCCTTACAGACTATATAGTCAATAGTTGCCAACAGACTATATATAGGACAAAACATTTAGGATTCAAACATCCAATTATGTAATACTTGTCCAACTGATTTTGAGATTCAATTGACTCACTTGGGTGATATGAATCACTTGTGTGCTACGAGTGTCAACAGGCTCACGTGCACATTTCACAATCAAATTTTGTTTCGAGCTGCCATCACAGGCCACCCGCGAGCCGTATCGAAGCCAGCAGCGAAGACTCCAGCAGCGATTTTGCCGCTTCGAAACCATATGGCAAACACGGGACATGTGTCACTGAATGTGTATGTATTATATACATATATATATATATATTATATATATATATACGTTCTTACTGTAATCTAAAACGATGTTCAATATGTATGTGTATGTATATACATATTACATATGTGAGTTGTTCATGTTTGTTCTCTGTGGCCTTTCGTAGGGCATCCGAAACGCAGGTCTCTTGCGTTTTGAATGAACATGCAGAGAATCCATAGCCAAGGAAAAAGTCTTCTCAAAGGGTATCGTGCTGCCATGTCAAAAACCACCTGAAAACCACCCCCGACCATTCCAAATCAACCACATGAAAACCATTCCCTCCTCTACAGGGCCAAGCCAAGCTAATATTCTTCTCAAGAAGACATTTAAAACAAGAAAATGCTAAACTGAAACCAAGCATCAACTATCAATAATCAAGATCACTAATTATCTGTTCATAGTCCACAACCATATACAGTAACATACAGTCGCGCTGAGGAGTTTGATGCACCGTCCCAGACCGTCTTTGATCGACTCCTCAAAAAAATAGCTCACAAAAAGAACCTCGTCTCAACCCCCCAGTCCTGACCAAAGAAAGCACCACGCAAACCCGCGGCCAAGAGGAAAGCCCGCTGAAAGGCCGCTCCGCCAACCGCAGCGCCGCTCGTGCTGATGCTGCGCTGTCGCCGCTGCACCTCATCGCCCAAAGTGGTGAATATGTGAAAATCAGGTTTTGGAGCCCCATGGATTTATTGCATCCCTCATGGAGCGGGCGACGGCGACCCATCCATGAGCAAGCTAGGCAGGCCATGGCAGGCCTACGATCCATGATCTACAGAACCCAAAAAAGGGGCCGGTATGGTCTGACGGTCTTTACCCCACCCCTGCAGTCAAGGGGATGAGCTAAGGTGTGGACCTTTCAAACAAACACTGAATACTCAAGGGATCCTGTCTGTCCTCTTTGTTCCATTCAATCACTTCCAACCAAAGTGGACTCTTCTAGTAGCAAGTGCATCGCTACTAGTAACAAGGGCATTACTACCAGTAGCAAGAAGCTGCTAGTAACAAGTGCAGAAGCTCCAAGAAAAGTCAAGCCGGACTAGAACGAGCGGCACACCAGCGGCTCGGATTACCCCAACGAGTGTGTCCCCCGGTCTGGTAGACTCCATTCGGCGAATTCAGAACTGGAATCTCAAATCGGCTCGTTTTCAGATGATGTGTCAATATGAGCGTTTTTGTGTGGGTGTGTTGGATGGTGAATGAAGAGACATTCAGATCACATCCTTGCAAGACAGGCACGCCCCGCGTCCACTCCAGTCTCCATGGCTCGTAAGCTAGCTAGCGCTTAGCAAACAGGATGTGAGTCAGGATGAGTTTAATCACTTGCAGTCTACACAATTAAATTGGGAATGAAGACAGACGTGAAGAAGGACACCATGTACGCTGTTGTCACAAGCACAGACTGCCCAGTTGAAGAAC